TGGCACGAGAGGCTCGCCCACCAGGCATCTTCATCTCCCTAAAATCTCTGGAATCCCACTCGATAATACAGAGCTTTCAGTGAGCCGAGACACCCAGTCAAGTTGGGCTCACTGGTTTGGCGTGCAGAGCCAGCTCTGACCCAAATTTTAGCAGTTTGCTACAAAACACTGGCTCTCAGTGCAGCAAAACAGCCCCCTTCTCCCATCCAGCCCTACGCTGGGGACCAAGAGCTGCGCCTGCGCATCCCAACACCAGGGGCTGGGAATGCCCATAGTGAGATCCGAAACATCCTTTTCAAAAGACAGAAGGATCTGGAGGCTTTGCACAGGCACGTGCAACCCAGCTCATCCAGGACCTGCAGCAAGCCCAGGAAGCTGGAAGCTGGCACCCCCAGCCAGCCCCCTGCACTGCAGCCCCCTCGCTGCAGCTCACCTCGGTTCGAGCCCTTTAAATGCACCCAGTAATTAATTAAACAGCTGTTTGGCACTGCTACGTTAACAAGGAGCAGAGACAGGCAACGCAGCCGCATCTCTTGCCCCTCGCTGTGCCAGCAAACACTGCCATGAGCATCACTGCCTGCTCCGCCGGATCGGGACCTCCACATCCCGGGCAGTGACTCGAGAAGGGTTTTCACTCAACTTCGTTAGCGGAGCCCAAACGAGCGAGAGCAAAGAGTTAAGGGGGATTTGCTGGCAGAGGGAGGAGCAGCTCCAGCGGGCTGGGGATTCCCAGCAGAGCCGGCGCCAACGCCTGCGCGGCTGCAGCAGGACCCTGCATTTATGAATGGAGCATCTTCCCCATTCATGGCCTGGCCAGTTCCCGTCACGTGGATCGCGGCCACCCATTCTTCCCTCACCGAGCTCTCCCCCCACACACGCTGCCCAGGCACGGGATGGTTCCCCTCTCCCACCCTCAAATCTCACCAGGACACGTGGAAACCCCACACATGAAAGCAGAGAGGGAAGAAATGGGGTTGTTGGGTTTTAGGAGGACCTGTGTGTGTCCGTGGGCACACACACAGGGAAGTGGGAACACAGCAGAGCTTAAGGAACAATACTTAAGGTCCCTCTTCTTGCTGCTTTCCACCCCCTTTTATGTCGTGGAGCTCAGCTCCGGGTGGGAGAGACCCCATGGGCTGACCCAAGTCACCCACATCCACCCTGTCTGCTTTCCCGCTGGGACGAGGTAGAGGATGAGCCAGAGGGGATAGCCAGAAACCTTTGCTCCCTGACCTGCTGCTGCTCCCAAAAGGGAGAGGCAAACCACGGGCTACGAGATGCCCCATGTCAACAGGGATGTGACAGGGTCTCACAGCAACCTCTGCCCATCCAGGGCTGATCTGGGCAGTCCCAAACACCCTACAGCCAGACACCTCCCCCCCCCAACTCTGCTCTCCCCAGTGCTGGGCATCACCGGGGGGTGCTGAGCATCACCCAGGCAAGCGCTCTGTGTCCGAAGCAGCTGCCAGCACAACACAGGAGGTGCCTGGCTCAGCTTTGGCACCTCAGA